CAGTCCTCCATGCCGCAGTCCTCACACCGCAGTCCTCCACACTGCAGTCCTCATACCACAGTCCTCCACGCCGCAGTCCTCACACCACAGTCCTCCACACTGCAGTCCTCATACCGCAGTCCTCCACGCTGCAGTCCTCACACTACAGTTCTCCACGCCGCAGTCCTCACACTGCAGTCCTCACACCACAATCCTCATGCTACAATCCTCCACGGTGGAGTCCTCCACACTGCAGTCCTCCACACCGGCTTCCTGATGCTACAGTTGTCATGCGGTGATCCTCCATGGTGGAGTCCTCCACACTGCAGTCCTCACATTGCAGTCCTCACATTGTAGTACTCACACCACAGTCCTCCATGCCACAGTCCTGCACACTGCAGTCCTTGCACCACAGTCCCCACACTGCAGTCCTCCACACCCCAGTCCTCCACACCGCAACCCAGAAACCAAAGTTATTCTTTGAAAATATAAATGTAAGTCAGAGACACTCATGCCTCTGCTCAAGCCTCACTGCCTTGTCTTAGAGTAGAAGGAAGTCCTTACAATAGCCCAGAGGCCTGGCAGTGTCTGGCCCCATCACTTCTCTGGGCGTCCCCCACTTCTCTCCTCTGCTGCCCAACTCCAGCCACACCGGCCACTTGCAACTCAGAGCCCACCAGGAATGGCCCCACTTCCACACCTTCTGCCGTTCCTTCTATCTTGATACCATCTTCCCTCAAATACCTGTAGGACTAACCCCTCACCTCCTTCAAGGCTTTCTTCAAATGTCACCAATCCAGTGATGTCTTTCTCCCACCACCCTGCTTACGATTGCAGCCTGACTCCTAACTGCCAGCACTACTGACCCCTACACCATGCCCCACTTCTTCCAGAGCACTTGCCACATTCTTATGATGGCATCATTGCCCTGCTTGTGTTGATTGCTTACCTTCTCTGGCCTTCTCAAAAGCTCTCAGAAGGACTATGACCACCTGCAATTTTTTTTTTTTAAGTAGGCTCCAAGCCCAGCACAGAACCTAATATGGGGCTTGAACTCACAACTCTGATCAAGACCTGAGGGGAGATCAATCAAGAGTCAGATGCTTAAGGGGCATCTGGGTGGCTCAGTCGGTTAAGTGTCTGACTTTGGCTCAGGTCATGACCTCGTGGTTTGTGGGTTCAAGCTCTGGGTCGGGCTCTGTGCTGACAGCTCAGAACCTGGAGGCTGCTTTGGATTCTGTGTCTCCCTCTCTCTGCCCCTCCCCTGCTTGCGCTGTCTCTATCTCTCAAGAGTAAATAAACATTAAAAAAAGAATTAAAAAAGAAAAGAGTCAGATGCTTAAGAAACTGAGCCACCCAGATGCCCCTCACCTGCAATTTTAAATAATAAAAGGGATTTTTGCCTGCTTTGGGTCACTAAAGTATGCCAGGTTCAAAAGAGTGCTTAGCACACAAATGGCAATCAAATATTTTTTCAATGAATACACCAGTAAATTTAGGATGAATTGGGCATTTCAATATGATAAATTAACATTTTATTCTAAGATAATTCTATTTCAGATTGTGGAAACATACAATATTTAACAACATAATCATTTCAAATAATAATTATAAACACTCAAACCCTACAATCCTGGGTTTTGGGGGAGTGGAGAAAAACATTTTGTATTTCAGCAAAGTGAATTGGCAGCATTAATGGTCACTGTCTCCTCTGAAGAATTATTTTCGGTCATCCTTTACCTGTTATGGAGATGATAATATCTAGGCACAAATACTGAATATTATTATCGATCTTTCTTAACATTTCTCCAGAGAAAAAAGTGTCTATCATTAAAACTATACTGCTACTTGGGGCGCCTGGTTGGCTCAGTCGATTAAACGTCCAACTCTGGGGGCGCCTGGGTGGCGCAGTCGGTTAAGCGTCTGACTTCAGCCAGGTCACGATCTCACGGTCCGTGAGTTCGAGCCCCGCGTCAGGCTCTGGGCTGATGGCTCGGAGCCTGGAGCCTGTTTCCGATTCTGTGTCTCCCTCTCTCTCTGCTCCTCCCCCGTTCATGCTCTGTCTCTGTCTGTCCCATAAATAAATAAAAAAACGTTGAAAAAAAAATTAAAAAAAAACAAAAACAAAAACAAAAACGTCCAACTCTGGATTTCGGCTCAGGTCACGATCTCAGTTTGAGGGACTGAGACCAGCGTTTGGCTCCATGCTGGCAGCGCAGAGCCTGCTTGGGATTCTCTCTCTCCCTCTCTCTGACCCTCCGCTGCTCACATGTGCTCTCTCTCTCTTTCTCTCTCTCTTAAATAAACAAACAAAAACAAATAAATAAATGTATAGCTACTACCTACATTTCCTAAGTAAAACAAGCAGTTACTTTTCTAAGTTTTCAGTCTTTGATACACAGTGCATCACTGAGTAAAAATGATACTTACACATCTTGAAATTCTTCTAGAGTCTTCTGTGGTGTAAACACATTTAACAAACTAATTATCTGAAAAGAAAATTTATTTTACCTCAGCATGTCGTAACTTTAACTATAAAAATTAAGTTTAATGTTAAAATGTACTAAAACTGAAAAACAAATCACAGCAGAACTCAGTATTTATTATTGTTATTAGCTTTACCAAAATATCCTATTACGTGGCATTTGAGAAAAGTAAAATGATTAGGGTTCTCACCTTGGAAATAAGATGTACTTTTAATCAAATCACATTTTATGTGTTTCTAGTAACTTATTATGACAGAATTTTAACACATAATGTCTTTCAGGCTCTGAACATAAAAGAATAGAAATTGTGGGTAGAAAAAGACTAAACAAAGCAATATGTTAACTGTGAAAACAAATACTATCTACAAATTTCTAAAGCTTTGAAATATGAAGGTGAAACTTGTATCTTTAGTATGATGAAGATGAACCCCTCACAGTGCTATGTATTTACTTAAAGAGGGTTCTAGAAAGGCCTCTACCACAGGCCTTGGTCCTGGCACCCCAACAGTTAAGTGATGAGTCCCACTGCTTGAGCATCAAACACACATCCTCAGTCATTTCAAATGGCCAAGGGAAAGAGGAATGATTCAGTATATAGAACCAGGGTGGCTGGTTAACTGAGGGAAAAATAAAATCGGATCCATACTTCAATCTTCACATCAACTCCAAATGGAACAAAGATTTAAACGTAAATGATGAAATCATAAAACATTAAAACATGGATAAACATTTATGTAATTCTAATGTAGAAAAGCCTTTTTCTAAGCATGACAGGAAACCTACAAAATTTTATTACATTAAACCCAAACTGAAATTAAAAAAAAAAAAAAAAAGCATGGCAAAAACAACTTAATTGGGGTCAAATGGAAAAGAAGTGAGAGTTGGTAGCTTTAGCATCCAAAGATCCTCCCTAAATGCATAAGAAAGACACCAACAGCCCAAGAGAAAAATGGACAAAGGCCACAGAAAACAAATTCTTTAAAAATAAATGGCTAATAGAAATATGGACAGGAACTCAACTTCACAAGAATAAGATATCATTTGTCATCTCTTAGATTGGTAAAGTACAACAAAAATCTCAGATAGTCTTTTATAAATATACATATGTATAGGCTTACTGCTTCGGAGACAGAAGCTCCGAAGCAGGCTCTGTGCTGACAGCAGTAAGCCGGATGCGGGGCTCAAACTCAGGAACCATGAGATCATGACCTGAGCTGAAGTTGGACACACAACCGACTGAGCCATCCAGGCACCCCATTCTCAGATACTCTTAATGGAAGTGTAAAATTGATGGTCTTTCTTGAGGTCAATGTGTCAGCATATTAAAACCAGAAGTGCGCAGAGTTTGCTTTGGCCAAGAAGTTGACCTGGACAAGCATGCGAAGTACATGTTAAGGATGTTTGTGGCAGTATTGATTATAATAGCAAAAACTGGAAACAATCTAAATATCCAGGAACAGGTGACTAGTTAAATAAATACTGTGCATCTGTACCATTTAAAAAATGGTTTCCATCTATGTTCATTAATATATCTGAGGTCCAGAAACATTCCATGAGGGAAAAAGCAGTATTTACAATAACACAGAAGGTCGAGTTCATGTGTGTATGTACATACGTATGTAAGAATGCTCACCAAAATGTTAATGATAATGAACTGTGAGAGTCAAGGATTTTTGCCTCTTTGTTTATATTGTTTGAATTAAAAAAATAATAACCATACTTTTGTATAATCTGAAAAAAAATTTTAAATGTAAAAGTAAAATAAAGCATACACTGGAGAAATTAAAAACAAACTCAAAAGAATAAACTTATCTTAGTTTTGTATGTGATGTCCCTATACCAGAAAGATCCAGCACTTATGCTAAAACAAAGGGAGCAGCATGAAATTGAGTGTAGTCTTAAATACTCATTAACAAAAAAAGGGGTCACAAGGGGTGATCTCCAAAGACCCTTCCAGACGTAACATGTGATGATTTTTTTTATAACAAGGCAAGGTTATCAAAATCATGCTTACAATAATGCTTAGAGACTAGTGGTGGACATCCAATGTGCCTGAGTACCTCATTTTCTGGAAACTTACAATTTCTCCTTAAAATTTACAGTGCTTTGATTTCTGTGGAGATGCCAAGTATAGCTATCTTGAATATCACACCATCTACTGACATATTTAAACCTGAAATGTCCACAGTACAAGGTAAAAAGCTACTTCTAGAACAACGTTTTTCTAAAAAGAATATGTAGTGTCTCAGTTTGTTAGGTTCATACTATTGCCATTTTATAGAAATAGAAATACTGAAACCCAAATGGTTATAGGGTTAATTGATATTGCTAACCCTCTTCAGTGACCCAAACTGGACCATGCTGCTTCTGGCTGACTTCATTTCCCCAAGGTTAATTAAGAATTTTATCAACAGGGGTGCCTGGGTGGCTCAGTCGGTTAAGTGTCTGACTCTCGGTTTCAGCTCAGGTCATGATCTCACGGTCTCATGGGTTCAAGCCCCACATGGGGCTCTGTGTTGCCAATGCAGAGCCTGCTTGGGATTCTCTCTCTTCCTCTCCTTCTGGCCCTGGCCCACTCATGCTGTCTCTCTCAAAACAAATAAACTTTAAAAAGTTATTTAAAAAAAGAATTTTATAAATAAAATATAACCATTTAAATGGTTACCGTTATTAGCAGTTTACCCTAAGTCTAAACCCAACATATATCCAAAGACCCAGAAGATTATCCCATTATGGACAACATTATATGGAGAAAACATAGACATAACTTACATTTTTATGATTGACACATTTTAAGAGGACGAGTTCACGATAAGCTCTCTTTGCATGGGTTTGATTCTGAAAAGGACGGCTTAGTTTCTTGACTGCAACATTTATCCCAAGAACTGTATCAAAAGCAGCACTATAATTAGGAAATATAATAAGGAACCCATTAGGATGATTCTGGAAAATACTGCAATGTAGAATGTACATTCAAGGCATTATCTTTTTAAATAAGTAACAAATAAGGAAATCTCTTTCTGCTTGTTTCTACTCAAGGTACTTCCACACGTCAAGACCAAGGTAAGTTGTCTGAGAATGTGGGACGGACTAACTGCTCTGCAGAGGTACAGACAGGGCAGCTACAGTTAGGATGGGATTCAACGATTCTTTGCACACTGACTTCTCATCATATTAGTTGATATCATTATATTCGGAACCAAGTAATTCAATACACAGGATGTAAGACCAGTCAAGAAACGAAGTCTTCAGTTTAAATATGCCAATAAGTTGGGGCGGGAGGGTCACTGGTTATCACAGAATAACATAGAAGTATATTCTGGAGTATCATGGTGGAGGAAATGGTTGAGATCATGAGAAGAATATAATAAATATAAGTTTTGATTGTGTTTTTCCCAGACAAAAAAATCTAAAGAGAAAACAGAAGCCAAGATCTCAGCTCATGGTAAATCCTCAAGATACAAAACCGCTAACGTAAGCAATTACTATATATAAAATTCTACTAGAAATAACTCCTTGTACTGTTATAGTAAGAATAAAATCCTGCAGAGGCTGTGTTTCTGGCATCTCAAGTTCCCAGTTGAAATTTATAGTTCCTTTTCCTCCAGAAAATAGGGAGAATTGAGTAGCCTGATGGTACATTTTATACAAATTAGTACTAATAGTACATCAGAGGTTAAAAGCTGCCAAAGACCACCTCAGAACTGAAGCACCATTTAAAACACTGTTTCTATTTACTCTATTCAGTTTGTAACATTGTTTCCACTTGTACACCTCTATTAATTTTTTTTTTTTTCCAACAGCCCTAACTTAATTGAATGGGTTTTAAATTGAAGGCTGTCCATGGTAGCATTTGGTTAATGATTAGAAACTTCACGTGGCTTTGTAATTGTTTCTCTTTAATTCAGTTCACATTATGTGTACACGTATACACATATGTAAATCCACATGCCCATATGGAAATGCATCATTCATATGAATTATGAAACGTTAAAGATAAATCTATTGTGCAACAGATAATTAATGTATATATATACATGGGCATTTGTACCTACATATATTTTTCAGTGTTAAGAACTTGAAAACAGACACACCTTTCTTGATCTCAAAAGTTTTTGTCCCAAATGAGCCAAATGGACTAATTCTGAGCCTCTGAGCAGACACCTACTTCCCCACTAGTAGTTTGAACTGCAGGAGCAACCCCCTTCGATTTTTCCTGGTTTTAATTCTTGTGGTCACTTCTCAACTCCAGATGAATATACTTTTATTACCGTTTCCTCATGTATCAACTTCAGAAATTGTCTGTCTACTCCGCCAAACTGAAGATTTAACCACTTACTTGAAACCCCCAACTCTTCCCAGCTTTTTGCTCTCACGTCATTTTGAACTTTTCCCTTGGTTACCTTTGTAACTTGAAACAACGTGCCTAAAATTCTTGTTCCATCAACCTGCAAGGGAGCCTCTGGACTCCCAGTATGTAAGATAAGACCATCACCTTCCATCTCTTTTGCCTTCAGGGCTCTACTCTCTTTCCCCTCCTCCAAACTTCTGTCTCGAATGGTCAAGCTAGAGAACATATCTGTTCGGTCTCTACAACTACGTCTTCCGTGTGTCTTCTTTCGGATGTGTCTACAAGTTGAAAGCCAAGACACACAGAGTATGTATGCATGCACACGCAAATGTCTCTAACAGCAGAGCCAGGATGACAGTTCATTTTCCAAGGATCACATGACCCTTCTTGTCACTCACAAGGGAATGAGATTGTTTCTGGCATCAAAGTCAGATGGATTTTCTTTTCTTACATCCCATCAGTTGCTCAAACATCATGTCTTTTTAAAGCTGTTTGACACTTTAGGCCATGACTTCTAGCTGTTCCACCATAAGTTTCCAATAAGCATTTTTTCTTTTTTTTTTAAATATTTATTTATTTTTGAGAGAGAGAGAGAGAGAGATGGAGCATGAGAGAGGGAGGGGCAGAGAAAGAGGAAGACACAGAATCCGAAGCAGGTTCTAGGCTCTGAACCATCACTACAGAGCCCGACGTGGGGTTCGAACCCATTAACTATGAGATCATGACCTAAGCCCGAGTCGGATGCTTACCCGACTAAGCCACCCAGGCACCCCAGCATTTTTTCTTTTTAAGAGAAGAAAAATATCCCTTTCTAAAGTCTATCCCCCGTGCTTCCCACCTTGCTCACATGAGCTATTGTTTAAGGTCTATTCCATTTTTTTGAAGATATGTTTTCTTGGAGTTTCTTTCACGGCCTGCTGTAAAGCCACCACCTTGGGACTTCTTTTCACTGGTCTCCATGCTTCTGGTCATATATGTTCCTGTATTCTCTTTCTTGGTGGAGTACATCCTCAAGGAATTGCTTCAGAAAGAGTCCATGGAAGATAAATGATCTTGTTCTGCCCTCAGCCTTGACTGATAGTTTGTCTTCTGACTTCAAAATCAGCTTTCTTTTGGAACTCCACGGATTTCCAATGTTGCTTGTCTCATTTTCATCCCTTTGCTTCTCTTCCTGTTCCTCAGTTCAATGATGTGTCACAAAGAATCATGTTTCGTCAGCATCCCCAAAGCCTCCCCTTACTAATCACTATCCCTCCTGTCCCCAAAGATGATAACTCATTCTGATTTTTATGATCATCACCTCCTTGCTTTTACCAGCTAAACATGCATCTTCAAGCTCCCTCCCCCTCCCACCCCCATGGCTTATTTTTGTCTGTTTTTTTAAACCATTTGTGTCTGACTTCTTTCACTCAACATTACATCTGGGAGACTCACCTGTTGTTGTGTGTAGCTAGAATTCATTCTGTGTCATTACTATAATATTCCTTTGCATGACTACATGACATAACGTTGATGTATACTTCAGTTATTTTCAGTTTGCTAGCAATTATAAGAAACATGGTCATAAACATTCTCACACATGGCTCTGGGTCCCTTATACATGCATTTCTGATGAGTAGATAGCTAAGAGTAGGAACGCCGAAGCATTGTCAAAGTGTTTTGCTGTACCAATTTCTAGGCATTTGGTTTTTATGTATGCTGACCCTGTGTTCTATAAACGGGGCTAACATACTCATTAACAAATGGGAGATGGGGTCTAATCTAATCACAACAGGACCCCCCCCTTTTTTTAATGTTTATTTATCTTTGAGAGAGACGGAGATAGAGCATGAGTGGAGGAGGGGCAGAGAGAGAGGGAGACACAGAATCCGAAGCAGGCTCCAAGCTCCAAGCTGTCAATGCATAGCCTGATGTGGGGCTCGAACTCACAAACCACGAGATCATGACCTTCGCTGAAGTCAGATGCTAACCAAGCCATCCAGGTGTCCCATGACAGCTCTTTAGAAGCAGAGTTTGCTCTGGCTGGTGGGAAGAGGGGAAAGTCTGAGAGATTTTTATCCTGAGAAGGATTAGACGTGCCACTGCTGTCTTTAAGGTGGAGGGGGCCATGTGAGAAGGAATGCAGGAGCCCCTACGAGCACAATGGCCTTTGGCTGACAGACAGCGAGGAATGGGGACCTCAGACCTACAGCTGCAAGCAACTGGGTCCTGCGAATGTGCTCAGAAGCACATTCTTTCCTGGAGCCTCCAGATAAGAGCACAGTCCAGCCAACATCTTGATTTCAGCCTCATGAGATGTTGGGCAAGAACCCGGGCAAGCCCATGCAGATTTCTGACCTATGAGAAGTATGAAATCATAAATGGGTGTTGCTTTAAAACACCAAGTTTGTGGTAACTTATTATGCAGCCATAGAAAATGAAAACATCCTCTCTTCTGTATTTTTCTACCCTTTTGTCTCTCCAGGCTTCATTCTGAAAATTTTTTTAATGTTTCTTTAGTTTTTTGGAGAGACAGAGTGTGAGCCGGAGGAGGGGCAGAGAGAGAAGGAGACATAGAATCCAAAACAGGCTCAGCTCAGAGCCTGACGCAGGGCTTGAACTCATGAGCCATGAGATCACGACTTGAGCTGAAGTCAGACGCTCAACCGACTGAGCTACCCAGGTGCTCCACTGAATTTTTTTTTTTTTCCTGACCCACCTTTCAGATCACTAAATTTCTCTTTGGTTATATCTAATATGCCATTAAACCCATCCATTAACTTCATAATTTAATTTCTATATCTTACAGTTCTAGAATTTCAATTCAGTTTTTTTAAGTCTCCACTTTTCTACCAAAAATTTTTCATCTTGCCTTTTACCATCCTGAACACAATGCCATAGCTATTTAAAGTTTGGATCCAATAACACTAATATCCCCTGTGGATCTGTTTCTTTTCTGTTTGTGCTGGGTCACATGCATGTTGTCTATTCTCCTGTGTGACAAGTCATTTGTGATGGTGTGTGGGGCCTCGCACTTGCAAAACTGCTTGCTATCTAGAAATAGCTTGATATCTAGAATTTAAATTCACTTCTGCTGGGCACCTGGTGGGGGCACTAGCAATTTGGGTTCACTTCAAGTTCAGCAAATGAGGTGATTTGAGGCTGAGTGGCAGTGCCTGCAAGGGTCCATTTCTTTCAGGTTCATTCTTTTTTTTTTAAATTTTTTTAACATTTATTCATTTCTGAGGGACAGAGAGAGAGCGGGAGTGGGGGAGGGGCACAGAGAGAGGGAGACACAGAATCCGAAGCAGGCTCCAGGCTCTGAGCTGCCGGCACAGAGCCCGACGCAGGGCTCAAACCCACGAACTGTGAGATCATGACCTGAGCCAAAGCTGGATGCTCAAGTGACTGAGCCACCCAGGCACCCCCTCCCCTCTTTAAAAAAATTTTTTTTTTAACATTTTCTTTCGGGTTCATTTTTAACTTCTTGGGTGCAGTCCTTTTTTGGTCCCAGTTCAAGGCAAAAAGTTCACCTGGCCCCTTATAGGACCCTGGGCTCCAATCTGCTGGTC